ATAATAAGAATAATTATAATAATTAAAGTCCTAAGGAATCTATTCTATAATTCGAAGACATTAATAATAATCATAAAATATCAAATGTTATTAGTCCTTTTTTAAAATAAATCAAATACTATAATGTTTTTATTAAACAACAATAACGAATATAAAATTAATAGAATTAACAAACTTAATTGAATTAATTAATTTTAGTAAAACTACTTTTATAATATAAAGTCTCATTATATGTATTTAGTTATCAATGTATCTCTTGATTAGTAAGATCTTAATGAATTATTTAGTAGACTTATTATAGAATCTTATAAATATATATTTAGAAATGATATTCTCTTCTAGTTTCAGAAGATTACAAAACTTAAATCGATATTTAGAACAAAAAACAAAACCATCAATTCTATACTATAATAATATATAAGAAATACTTTATATCTTTATAATCTTTCGAACACTGATTTTTTATCTTTCTAAATATTTTCGATAATAAAAAGTATATAGACTTTTTAATTATTAATAAATCGCATATTGAAAATAAAGAAAGTAAATTGAGATAAAAATAGACTATATAATCATATAGTCCGTATACTAATAAAATATATTATTAATTAACTAATAACTTCTTACTAATTACTGTTCTAATTTTTTTTCGAAATTATTCAAGCGTTTTTTAATATTATTTAAATTCGATTTTTAAATTTAAAAATATATATTATTCAATTCAAAAGTTTATTTGATTTTTTTTGAAAATAAATATAATTTCAGTGAGTTTCTATTCAAATCTTTTTTTTGGATTTTTAAGAAGATTCAAAAGAAGTTTAACAGAATCAATAATTAATTAATGATTTTTTAACTAATCATTAGTTTCCCATTGAAAATGAGTATTATGATCGATGATTACTTAAAAATTCCTTAGAATAATAGTAAGAATTAATCAGTCATATAATTCCACACCGTAATACATCAACTCTAAGTCGAGTATTCTAATTTATAACAACCCCTGTTTTGAACTATCTTTCATCATCAAAAATGATAAAAAAACTTTCTTATTTACAAACAGAATTCATTAAAATTTAGTATTTATATAATTGAAATTATTTCAAGTTCATTTTAAAGGTTTTAGATTTTTAGGATTCTTCTAAATCGAGATTTGAAGTTTCAAATTTCGAATTCCAAATTTATAGAAAATTTATATATAAATTTCATTTTTAGTAAAACCTTTTATGATCTTTCATTCAATTCTTTTTAATTTTTTTAATTTTTTTATATATATTTTGAAAATAAATTTATAATAAATTTCAATTAAAAAGCTTCATTTTTTTTAAGAAAGAATTCTAATAAATAAGTATTGAAGGAGTGCTTTCGAAATTATAAAGATTATTAACTTCTGTTCAATATGTATCTCTATAATATTTATTTTATTGAATTTTTTAAAGAATCTTCATATAGATTCAGACTTAAAACTTTCAACAACTCAACTATTTTCTTTTTATTCATTATAATTAAAAAGTTATTAGTGATTTGAAAATCAGTCTTTTGAAATTTTAAATCTCCATTCAAAAAAAATTCAAAAATCTACGATCTTCAGAATAAACTGAAATTGATTTTAATTATATATAAATAAATTGTCAGAGCTAATAATAAACTAAAAAAGCAATTTTTGATATAAATAAGTGGTCTAAAACAGGGGTGGCTAGAAAATGAGGGGTTTAAGTTACTTAATAATTAATTAAATAATTAAATATAAAGCTTTCTTGATTCATTTCAATTATTAATCTCTAGATAAGAAAACAGTATCCCGGATTACGAGATATCAATTAATAGAGTCCCTCTGTACTTTTTATAAGTCAGTATTTAGTTTCTAATACTACATCTAAAAAGGGGATGTTTACCTTGACTGGATATTATTTTCAGAAAAAGCACTTAGATCGCTTGACAACGGAAATTGAGCGCCGTGTGAAAGGAATGACCGCTATTCCTTCCGGACCAATTGGTCAGGTTATCAATTCTACAGTCAATCAAATCGTATTATTAATATTTTATAACACAATTAAACTTCTCTTCTTCATAGATTCATTCTAATCCAATCATACCCTATATAAGTTTCCTTCGCATTATCACATATTGTAATAGTTTACAGTTCTTTACCATAGTCTCACTGCTTCTCTGAATGATCTGCTGGATGGTCCCGAAGCCATTGTTTGATTTCTTTAAGACCTTTGTCTTCATTGGTCCAAGAATTCATCGTGGTATCAATACTCTTGAGCTGATCAAGGATTGTCTGATCTTCGATAATGGTAAAAGACTACAATAACTGAGTTAACAGGTCTCACGGAGAAGGACAGGGTTCAAACCTTTTTGTAGCCGGAGACCATATCTTGAACATTCGCTTTCATTTTTTCTTCTTTTTTCTCTTTGGTAATAGTTCCGTCAGCCACCAGATCATTCAAGGCGTCCTCCTTTACAATGAGTTTTGTCATATCTAGAAAGTTAGTAAAAGCTTGATCAAGTCTCATAGCGCCCTGCTTAATTGAAAATCTCTTTGCAAGATATTCAAGTGTTTTCCTAACAATTTTTTTTAGCAGCAATTCTCTCCCTATTCGATATTTCATACTTCTCTAGCTCAGTTTTCTGTTTGGCGCCTTCAACTGCGTCGAAAATTAGAACACCAACAGTCACTAAAGCGGCGGCTACGCTCAATGTATTGCCCGCAATCTTGAAGTAGCGCATTCCTCGTCCTACAATCTGTGCACCTTCGGCCGCTGCTTCAGAGCCTTCAGCGGCGGCCTCGGCGGCGCCACCAACACCTTTCTCAATTGCTATGCCTGATTCTGCAGCCTCAGTGAAGAGTTTTGCTTCCTGAGCTGCGTCCCCAACCAGACCAGCATCACGTGCAGCCGACACCTCAGCAGCACTGCTTTTGAAGCATTCAGTAATTAATTTGATGGCATTCGCGGCAAGAGGCCCAAGTTCTGTTTACAATAAGCAATGGGCGCTTCGATGTCAAGCTGATCATTCACATACCTGCGGCACCCCGAGCGACCACGTTCGCTAGGATTCGGAGACCAGAGTATCTGACCAGGGATCCGAGCAGAGCAAGTCCTCGCTCGGTAGCTGGATGGATTAGCCAAAGCATATGGGTAATTCTTGAACATGACTTACTTCCTAATCGCCCCAAAACGGCAAGAGCGAAGACACCACCGGCAACATCAAAAGCAATCTTCATATCCTCACTGAGCTTAACTGCCTCATCTCGCTTTCTATACCATTCTAACTTTTCCTTCTCAGGTAGCATATTCATAGCCGCGGCTATGTATTCCTGAGGCGTAGGATAATCAGCTGCTTTAGAAACCTTTTTGAGGTAGTCGTATGCGCGTATGTCGTTATCCTTCCATTTTGCATCCACTCTTTTCATTTCATCTTGAATCATCACAGATTGATTAACAAGATCTGTAACGCGCTGTTGTCGAAACTTATTGTCTGTACAACAATTAGCACTCAGTCCATCATATCATGACAAGTATTAGAACTTGCCTGTAAAGAACATAGCCATGGTTACTGCTGGATGGTATTGAGATTGGACAATCTGAAGTGTCTAAAGCAAATCTTGGTTGTTGTAGCAAGATAGTAGCTGCCTGTAAATTGAATTTGCGGAAAGTCGTCAATTTCTATCCTTTCTATCTTTTAAGCATCTGCGCTCTCCCTTTGCTCAGCTGTTTAATTCCTTTTGATAGTTTCACTTTGATGCCGCATAAGCGGATCCATGACTAGCACTAAAATATGACAGACTCTTCTACTAGTATGTGACCTTAAGTCTATGGTGAAAAAATATACATACACGAAAGCATATTGATCTCCATTTACTGTATGGTAGGATCTGTATCACAGACGCGTATCTGTATCTGATCGTCAGTACTTACATCTTGCTTTAGTGTAGACTTGGTTTAGGTTCAGCTGTCGTCGACTCGAAAAGAAACAAGGTTTAAAAGTATTTGATACTCCATATTTATGCAGGAAGGATCCTTCTCTTGTGCCATTTCCTGTACGCAAAGCCATCAACAGCCAATAACAACGCCAGCCACGATCAGAAATTGAATAAACTACGCCAATAATGAAAAGAGATATGTCACCGAGCAGCTCAGCTGTCATCTTTCTGTCACAGCGGGAGGACGCAATGTGGGCATCGATTCGAAGTTCACATTTGACTTTTCAAGATTTGGAGCTAGGAATCCAAACTTCAAGCACGAGATTACAAGTTCAATGATTTGAGCAAGTCTCACCAGCGCCAGTCCGCAAAGAATGTATATTTTATTCCTTACTTGAGGCGGTACGGAGTATAGAGGTGGTAGAAGGTAGAATAAATGCATTACTATCTGGTAAAGCTACAAGTCGTCAGATTCTTTGCAGCTGCGAAATGTGTTACGTCATATTGTGAGCACAGTGGAGAATGCTACTGTATCCACTTTAATCCTAGGTTCCAAGGCGTCGAAGTCTAAAGCTGAGCTGAACTTGAGGGACTATTCGAGTGGTGGTCCACTTGCCGAAAACAAGTCTCTCCACTTATCTTTTCATGCAAACATAACCCGCTGCAGAAAACGATCGATATAAGCATATTCATGAAGGCGTTTTAACCGGTTCTTGACGCCCAATAAGCCTTTCACCATAGATCGCTTCTAACAAAACTATCGCCTAGGTAAGCATAATTCCCCTTGTAAGTGTACCGTTACCGTTTTCTGCAAGGTGGGGTATGCTTATCTTGACAATTTCTTTTCGCAAGTGGAGCCAAAAGGTAAGAAGAGCTGAGGGGTACGGCTTACCCATCTCAGTAATTTTTAAGGTTATGATACGCATCGGAAGTTGAGTAGAATTGTGCCGGGGTGACGAAGTCCTCCACATGACGGTTGGAGGTTATTCCCTTTTACTCAGTAACACGTCCCTCACGCAAGTTACTCAATCACGAGACAATGTTATGACCTTTACGATAGAGGTATGAGAATAGTAGCGCCACGTATGAGATCCAGCTGTCACAAGTTTAATGCAACTAGCAGAAAATAATTGTCCACGAATTGAAGATTGACTGGGATCGGCTACTCGAAACGGACGCTGCGTGTGATTACGAAAAGTCTTAAATGGCGCAATATTTGCTTAAGGCAAGTGCTGTCGATCAAATGGGGTATACTAATGCGCAGATGTGCGACTTGGTCTTGCTGTTCGTTCGTTGACATCAGTTGACCAGAATGATGTTCTAGATTTTAGGTATCCTGTTATGATGCAATAAACACTAATACAGAGGATGGCCATTCTCAGCTAGTTACGTGCCGGATAAGCAAGCCAGGGTCTACGGTTTCGCTCCTTCTTTCTCCTCTTCTTATTGCTTATAGTGGAGTCGCACACTAATTAGTGACGAGGCTTGCGTAGAGCGAGCTGGTACGTGGGCGTGAATCAGGTTAAGTGAAATGCACTGTACACGCAAAATTGATACCTGCTGAATCGGGACCGAAAGTCACAGAGGCTCGTTGTGGCTTCAACGTCAAGGAGCTGATGAGACTTTTTCTCAATGCACTTCTGTACGGTGTAGATCTTAAGTTGCATGAGCTGAATCGGGAGCTCCTTCACCAACGGAAATTAATCAATTTTGTGTTTGACATTTGAGGCTTCTGCAGCTTGAGCAATTAGCTATGCCACGATTTTCTCCAGCAAGGCTACGAATTTTATGACACGTTACGAAGTGCGCACTCATAAGATGGGGAATTAGCTCAGTCGAACTCAATTTGGTGCTTGTTTGTTCGGAATTGTTCCAAAAGTAAAGGCAATATTTCAGCTTTTCAGCTTTTCAACTTGACTGAACAGGTCTAAAATTTGTTCATTTATATTACCTCACACTGTCATTTGAGCGACAATCTGAAAGCTGCCAGAATGGGAGGCGGTTCAAGCATGCCAGAAGTCGGCATTGGTGATATCTTCTATCCTGATAATCCTAAGAGAAGAGCTCGTGCTGAACAGCTCTCGAACGAAACAAAATGGTGGTGTGCAAGGTTTAACGAACAGAAAGAAACACTGTAAGAGATACCATGCTATCCTAAGCGTTTCAACAGCTCATCGAATATGCATAGTGATAGCCTTGAGCCAGTTGTGCGTAGTCGAATTGATGCGTATCTCAAGAAATTCGGATACGCCACGCTTGACGATCTTGTGAGCAAGGTCAACAGCACATTGAGTGGAGATGCCCTCAAGAAGTGGACAACTCTGAAGACAAGGTGAGAAAAGGCTGTTTGTCCGGCTAAAACTTTTGTCCAAAAATTGTGCTTATTCTCCTAGTCTTTCACAGGAACACTGGCTAGACAACTTCTTGCTAACTATCAGCGGCATAGTGGCGGCCGGCAGTGGAATAGTCCTTGGAGGCCTCGTGTTGTTTTCCGTTATCTCTGGTCCAGTGGGGTGGTCCGTTTTCGCTGGTGTCAGCGCCGCAATGGGGGTGGTAGCTCTAGTCGCAGGTTTAATAGATGTCATAAATGGAGGACAAGAGAGACAGGTAAAGATGCCCACCAAAAACGGCCTGAAGAATCAACTTACGTGACATAGAAACTCCGAAAAGCGATCGACGACCTGTATAGTGCGCGACTCCAGGCAGCTCAAACTTACCGAAAGCTCGAGGTCTACAACAATTGGGTTATTGCATTTAGTATGTTTCAATTGCAAATTTTTAACATATGCTGACCTTCAGGCGATTTCTTCAAGGACGAGTGGATCGAGCTGAGCCCAGAAATCTTCGAGAAGAAGTTTGGACAAGGCTTCCGCAATGATTTTTACAAGTTCGACCGAAGCACTGTTAATAATGTGAGTTGATTATCTGTTTATGTGTTTGTGCTAGCAGCTGACTTCAGTAGGAACTCAATCAACATGATCGAGAAGTGAATGCTTGGACCAATGAAGATCCGGCTATCGCCAACATCAGTAGCATGGTGCTCACCGCAGCAGCAATGCCGATGGCTACTGCAATGGTGGCACAGGGTGAGACTGCTCTGCCCGAATCTAGCCATGGAGGCACTGTCGATGTATCGGAGACTAGCAAGCCAGAAGTGTTGAGCAATCCACTGATCGAAGTAATTAAAACTGCACCAACTTTTGTTCGATGCCAAAGTAAGATGTCGTGGTACTGACAAGTTTTAGGGAATCTTGGATGTACACGTTACAGCCGATGGCGGAGTCCAGAAGAATCTGAGAGTAGAGCTGCAAGAAGTTTTGTCAACGACTGCTTTCACCGTGTTAGACTTGGCTACGGTAAGTCAAATATACTTATGATTTGAACATGCCATTTCTGATACTGATCTTCGTAGTCCGAATTGCTTGGAATTCGCGCAGAAGTTGCTGATTCAACCAAACCAATGAAGATGTTAGAGGATATGAAATTCTCTGTGACAAATTTCTCTACAATGGAAACATTACATAATTGTATATTCTTTAAGCAGATATTCGCTTCATAATACTCATGTTACTTAACGATGAAATAGTTAACTAGTTATTAGATTTGAAGAATGGATTGTTGCTTTCTGTCAGGGTTTTATAGTAGGGAATATGTCGACCAAACACCGGGAGATGAGTAAGAGATTATATAAAAGTTTATTGTAATCTAGTCAATACTAATCATATGCCCTGGCCTAATCCCGAGTGTGTATGCTAGTCTTTTTATGGTCTTTCTAATACTAATAATCTTATACTCTATTGCTTGAATTCTTTAATCTCTTCCTCTAAACTTTAGACTAGTTATAAGTTAAACCTATAAATTCTTAGATTTACGTAGTAGTCCTAGCGTATCCGGGGTTCACCCAAGTGACTAACTCGTGTTCGCGGTGACTCTTTTAGTGATCAACTAACTAATATATCTAGTATATTAATATTCTCGCACTTGAACTTTAGACATTCTATATCTAAGTACCTAACTATTGTTCTAAGGATTTTATTAGTGGTTAGCATTAGTAGCGACTCATTTCGACAGGGGGGTGATAATCCAGTCAAAAACCCTCTAATTGATTACTTATTCTTTTTATCTTTAATATTGATTAATCTAAAGAGTATTTATTGATAACTAATTTTGATAAGATTAAAGAAAAAGTTATAATAATTTATAAAAATAAAGGAATAATTATCTATTAAAAAATTATCAAAAGTCATTAATTAATCATTACGCTTTTGAATTTCAATTTAAGGCTTTTTGAAAATTTAAAAAAAGAAATGAATAGGAATTCAATTAAATTATATTTCTTTGAAATAGAAATAAAAGTACCTAATACCCCACTATCTAATATTAATGATTTTATTAATATTAATTAATATTTAGAGTTCTTAAGATTAAATACATATATATATTATTTTTAGAGATGAAAATAACCAAGAAGAGTTTTTTTCGAAATAAGTCTCTAATTTATATCGTATTTAAATTAGAAAATCATTTTATATCTTTTCTCGTAATCGCTAAGTTAATACCTACTCAAATTAAATAATTGTTATTATTAAAATAGGAAAAAAGGTATATTATATTTGTTCAAGATATTCAAAATATTTAATCTTATTATCATATAGAGTAATCATATCGAATAAATTAGTAAAAGAGATTTTCAAAAGTTTCCATAATAATCTAGACCTTTTAGTATTCAATAATCTTATAAAAGGATTTTTTTAAAAAAAAGATTCTTAAATAAATAAAAAAGAAGGAAAATCTCTTCAAAAAGCTTGATTTATTTCGAGAAATACTTTCAATAAGATTATTAATATATAAAAACAAAACATTTATATAATATTTATAATTTCTTTACATAAGAAAATAATATCCTTAATATTTCGATATAATAAAATTTATAATAATAATTCTAAAATATAATAGAGATTATAATATATTATTAATTATCTAAAAAGGAAGTAATAACCTTTAACAATATAGAATATATATTATATTAAAAATTAATATTATAATCTATTTTATATTTATTATATAATTCATTTTAAATTATTAATATATCTAATATAAATTAAAATTTATTATATAATTATTAATTTTCTTTATTATAAAACTTTGAACCTTTTTTATCAAAAAAAAAACTTTATTAATAAAATAAAATAAAAATAAAGATAATAGATTTTAATAGAAACTAATTTAATTCAATTTTAAAGAAAGAAAATTAGAATTAGAATATTTTATAATATAAGATTAGAATAAGAATAATTAATATCATAAATGAAATTTATTGAATTTAAAAGTTAATAATTTAAAGATGAAGATATTTTTATAATAAAATAGTAATATATTGATTATAAGATTTGATATATTAAGAGAATTTAAATAATGTAGGAAAGAATAGTAAAGATAGATATAAGAAATAAAGAAATATATGAATTATGAGAAAGTAAATAAGAAGATTAAAAGTGTCTATAATATAAAAAAGTTTTATAATATTAGTTTTAAATAGGCTTTAAAGAGGAATAGATTTTTAACTATTTTTCTTTATTTATTTTATATAATTGAAAACATATCGATATATTATATAGTTAGTAGAGCTTAGTCATAGATAGATTGAATTAATTAAGACTTTATAATTACTACTATATTTCCAGAATTCAAAAATCTTTTAGAATTAAATAGCGTTTTTTAGGGTTTTTATTAGTATTATTCCTTGTTAAGTTCTACTTTTAGAATTTTATTTAGTATTGATTAATATCTCGCTTGATATTAGAGCTAATTTATTAAAAATAACTTTTCTGAAATTTTTTAAAAAAACTAAATTGATTGAATTAGTTTTTATTTAAATCGGGATTAGGTTGTTTTTTACTCAGAAAAATTTAGTTTTCTTTGTTTTTATTATAGGTATACAAAGACTAAAACACGAGAAAACCAAGGAAGAATTTTCTTGAAAAAACCCATTAAGCTTTATTATATTCGAAATAGGAAACCTTTCAATACCCCCTTCCATAGTTGTCAAATCAATACCTATTCAGGTTAGAAAGATATTATCATTAACATCAAGAAAGGAAATCTAATATATCTATATCAATACTATTAATATTAGCACTATTAATAATAAACTTATTATATTAAATATAATTAATAAAAAAGATTAAATTATAAATTCCTGTAATGATTTAGGCTTTTCAGTATTCGAAAGCCTTATAAAAGAATCTCAATTATAAAAAAGAAGGTTCTTAAGCATAGAAAAATAAAGGATGAAAACTCTTCAAAAAGATCCTACTTTTTTCAAGAAATATTTTACAAAAGATAAACCAATATAATATTTAATATTCTACTAATATACTTATAACTATTCTATACGTATAAAAAGAAAAGCTAAATCTTTCAAAAAATATTCATAATATGTTTGATTCAGGTGTATAGTATTTTATATTAGTATATAATATTATTATGAAATACTGATTACGATATTACTATTTTATATAGTATACGATATATCACCGATTATAATTGAAGGAGTAGTGATTCTTTAATATAAAATGTATATTATTAAAGCAATAATATTCTGATATTATTATATTTACTATTTCGATCTCATTCAATCATTTAGTTTTATAATATAGTCTTATTCTCTATATCAATAGAATAATTCGATAGGTTCTAATATATTGTATTCTATATCGATAGGATAATTTGGTAGGAGAAAAGGAAATAAGAGATATTAGATATTAAAAAGAAATTATATATTATTGATATATTATAAAAGAAGATAAATATAAGGCTTATAAGTAATGAATTAGAGATTATAATAAAATGATCTCTAAAGAATTTGAAGTATTAAAGAACAAAGACAATTCTTTAAAAGGGATATAATATTATAACTAATTATAGCTTTTATAATATTTTAAAAGGAATCAAATAAAAAGAGATGAATTATTATAATAGAATAAAAAGCATAAAAAGCATAGAGTTTTTATAAGTATATTAGGGGATTTACAAACAAAAGGTTTTTGAATAGGATGGATATATAATATAAACAATTTAAAAGATTTGAAAGGATTACTTAGAAGGTTGTTTAAGGGTTTTAATAGGGAAGTTCGAGGGGGGGTAGGTTTTTATTTCTTTTTCCTATCTACTTCATTCAATTATAATCATATACAGGCGTATTGTATAGTCTTAGTATAGCTAGATAGACCGAATCGATTAAAAATTTACTACTACTACTATACGAAGACTTATATCATGATAATTATTATATTAACTATATAAGAATAAGAGTAATATATTCTTGTTAATTAAACTAAACTAATAAGAATAATAGATTCATTCAATATATTTTTAAATTAAAATCCTTAATATCTATTTTATTAAAATACTAAATTGAAGTTTTTTGCTTCAAATAAATTTATAAATCTTATATATAATTTTAATCCTTAAGAGCTCTATAAGATTACTTATAATAATATTTTTAATAGAAATATATTTAATCTTGATATATCTCTTTACAACTTTTTGTTATATATAATATTATTAAATATCGATATACTTTATATATTATATATATTAAACTATGATATTTGAACTCAATTAAGGAAAATATAATAACAATTTATTGAACTAATCTCTAAAAGATTAATTCCTTAGCTATAGAGAAAGAGTATTCCGATATCAAATAATATATATATAAGCTCTTAATATAATTATTATTTGTGAAATTATATCGATTTATGTTTTTATTAAGTTTAAAAACAATATAAAGATAAATTGTTTTTTATAAATCATAAAATATCTATTTAGCCTAAGATATATATTTTATTAATAAATTGATATGAAATCGAGAAAGAAGTCTTAAAGAATGTATAATATCTGATTATATTAATACAATAATATGGTTTTCCAATTTAATCTATTATCAATAAAGCTTAATATTAGTTATTAATATTTAACCTATATATAACATTATAAAATCTTTTAAACTTATATTAAAAAGAGTTTGATAAGCTTAGAATTCTCTAACTCAAAATACTTTAGTATCTTTTTAATATATATATCTTATAACTTAATTATATATACCTTTCGATTCAAAAGAATTTGAATTCTTAGGAAATAAAATATAGATCCTGAATTCTTTATTTAGAAAGTATTGTTGAATTTATCTTTATAATAATTCTATCTTTATTAATAGGTTTTATAATCAGAAAGTCATTAATATATATTAGAATTATAATATTAATAAGAGATTTATAATATATACTACTATTTATATAAGTAAGTAAATAGTCTAGCTTTATAAGCTTTAATAGTAACTTTTTTATTTTGAATAAAAAACCTGTTTAAGTTTATATAGAGCTTTTAGAAATTAACAAATTGTTTTATTTTTGAATGAACTCTAGATATATAACTCAAAAAAAAAGTAAAGGAATATTAATATAAATAATGTTTTTATTTAATATAGTATTATTAAGAAATATTATAATAATGTTCATTTATTCAATCTTTTAATCAAAATATAAAGTAAGTATAAATATCATCTTTCAAGTAATACTTTTATATATACTTATATAGATTTAAAAAATATCTCTTTCTCTTATATATAATCCTTAATAATTTAGTAAACCATATACTTTATGATTTTATTATCTTTATTA